CTCTTATCAAGCGCACTTCGACTGGATCGCAACTCACTATGGTCCTCGCCAACACCGATTGCTCTGTTCAGCTGCGGGACCCACTCCCGCCGCTGCGAGGCCTGGTGGATAGCGACGTTAAGGAACTGGTGCAACAAAAAGAACCAAAATGAAGGATATTTCTCCCAAGTGCTCAGCCTTCTTTCCTCCCGAATGAGGGAAACTGATCAAGGTCACCCTCACAGAGTGGAGGCGACACAGGGCTGCACGCCTTTCGAGCATACAATGTGTACACAGCCTACCCAGCTGAACATGTTCCTACAAAGAAAATAGTATACAAAGAACGCCGCATTCCTTCTGCACTGTGTGAAGCTCCCTCAGTATGACAGACAACCAAGATGGGGTTGCAGCCCTGGAGATGCCTTGGACCTCTCCGGGTGTACGTCACCCTCAAAGGCGGCGGCATCGAACTGTAACCAGCCAAACACGAACGTGTTCCTCTCCGTAACGCTTTCCCCCAGATGCAAGTCAACGTCAGCATCCACTGGTGAGTTCAGGCAGGGGTCCGAGTACTCTCGCATGATGGGGCGGCAAGAACATGGAAACATGAAAGAACTGTTGGTGCAAAGGAGTGCTTCTGGTGAGCTAGTCATCATTTCTTCTGTATTTTCCTTCCTTAAGAGTAAAATAAATTACAAACTCTCCCGCTAAGAAGAAACTAATTCCTTGAGTCTGACTGAGGAGTTCTCAGTTCCCCTAGTAAGTCACCATGCGTTACCTCCCTCGGACAGCCCTGTAGACTATCTTAAACTGGAGAGCTGAGCGGAGAAGTAACAACCGAAGAATAAAAGTGTGAAACTGGCGAAGATGATGGGGTGCTGACCTCGCCGAAGAGAGAAAAGAGGCGCATTCCCGTTTATAAAGGAATTTTTAAAGCACTTTTTGAGCAGAATCACCAGATGAACCAACAAAAGGGAGAGGGAAACGCACTAGGCGTTCAGCATTTTGGTGCAGGCAACGGTAGTATGTATACGGGGTATGATGCCCACGGTTGTGGCTTCAACATGCATAGGTCTACCCCTTTCTCACTTCGCGCATAGACACACAAACTAGAAAAGACTTAGGCCTGTTCTCTCCCCTTTGGGGAGACTTGGGCTCCTCATATTTTGTTTGGCCTCGCTTATACCCTGGAGGAGGATGGCACTAAAGGCCGTCTTGCGTGGAGTACGCAGATGCTGCTTCGGGAAGCAGATAACCTCTTAAGCCTCAGGGGATGATAGCTGAAGCGGAGTGAGTCTATACACGCCCACTAGGTGAGATGGTGGTGTGTTTCATCCCTTGCTGAGCTCCACGTACACCTGGAGGAGGCAGGCTACAGACGTGCATCTGCTTATAAGGAGCACTTCCGGGGCAAGCAACGTAAGACCAACTCCGAAGCGCATTACAGTAGCGGCAATTAGACTGTATTCTTACTTGAAATACACTCAGGTTTTATTTAAACTGCACTCTGCTTTTGTGTGTAGCATATCCACTTCTACTTGTTTTGTCAGGAAGTTACCCCGAGCACCCATAGCTGGTATGCGTCAGCTGCGGGTACTTGTATCCTTTAAAAGGGCTCTATGTATCATTCCTGCAACCCAATAAACAAACAAGGAGAAAGAGAAATTGTAGAAGATCACGAAGTATTGACTTAACCGCTGAGTCGACTCCCTGTGTATGCATGCCGGCGGAAATTCAATGTTTCGCCGGAACTTCTAGAAAGCATTTGAGCTGAAGGATGCAAAACAGCTGAAGGGGGCCGAGAAAAGCAGAAAAAAATATCTGAAGATGCAGACATTCTCTCTCGGACCATTGAACCGGCGCTGCGTGAACAGCGGGGATATTCAAGTTGCGTAATTCCTTGTGTTGGCCAGCACCAGGTGAATCGAGCCATATAAAATATTAAATTTGGATAAAATATATAAAAATATATTTAATCTGCTCTGGATATACCTCGAAGATTCCTATACATGCAGTGTGTATGCTGAACGGGCGTAGTAGCAGTCCTTGACCGTCCGCCCGGTGGCGGGTGTAGAAGCTGAGAAGTTTCTTGCATAATTTTGCTTTTTTGAACGAAAATATATTCATGAAACTTATTTTAAACCTTTTCTCTTGACTTATTTTGCAGGATTCACCCCATTTGAATTGTTTTTCTTGATTTCGTTCAGAAACCGCTCCGCGCGGCGCGGGTCGCTGCATCATCGCCAGTTGTATCTTTTCTGTTCTTTTCCTTTTCTTTAGAGAACCTTCTGCTCATGTGAGGTAATTAGATTGTTTATTTCTTGTTTTTCTCCCGAGTGAGTCAAAAAGCTCTGCGATCTGCAGCTTTTTCCTCTTTTTCTTGTCGCCAACAACAACGTCATAAGCAAGGAAAGCCAGAGAGGGAGCCAACAGAATATCAAAGAAAAGAGAATATCACTGAGTTCAGAATTCTTTTGTGAAGATGGGGAATTCTGCATGCTGTGGTTTTGACGGAGATGACCAATCAAATGTAACACTGCAGCAGCTGGCTCTTGCTGGCTTGAAGGAGGTTTCAGCAGCTGTATATGAGGCTTGGCTGCAGAAGTATACTCAGGGCAGCAACGTAGAAGTATTGTTCCCTGACGGTCAGCGTATAGAGTGTAAGTTAACTCTGGATTCTACAAAGAGAATTCTAACACTAAACTTCAAAGAAAAGGTGCGGCCTATTCCTTATAAAGATATTGATTCATGGATATATGGCCCTTCAGCTGTAGACCAAGAGTCAGCTGATGCAAAACTCCTCAAGGATCCTAAAGTTGTTGGCTTCAGACTTTCTACATCAGGCCGAGCAATTGCTGTAGCATTCGATGCAGTAGACAGTGCAATATGTTTCGTTAGGTTCTTAGAAAAAATACTAGAACAAAATAGAGAACAAGAGGCGCAGAAAAAAAAACAAAAAACACCCTAGTCTTCTCTCTATCAATTCAGCTTTCTCTCGCTTTCTTATCAGCAACATATTTCAACTGGGGACATGCAGCAGCAACCTTAGCTTCTATAGCAGCTGACGGTGCAGCGGCAGCAGCAGCAGCAACAGCAGCAGCAGCAGCAGCGCATTCACTTCTATTTGCTTCAGCTTCGATGGCCCCTGACAGAAATACCAAGACAACGAAGCTGAAGCTGCTGCAGCAGCATCTGCCGTAGGTGCTGCTGCTGCTGCTGCTGCTGCCGCAGCAACGGCAGCAGGTGCAGCAGCAGCACAGCAACAGCCTCGTTGAGGGACTAAGAGTAGCCCCCTTACTGCAGCGCGGGGAACAGAAGATACAGGAGTTAGTTGTTTTTTGTTGGCGTAGCCAATGAAAATAGTAGCAGCGCTGAGGTGTATATGCAGCTACCCAATGTTGGTGGCTGTGTCTGGCTAGCTATGTAAAACTAAGCAAGAAAAAGCATTAGCTTATGATATATTTTTATTATATAATTATATAATTATATATATAATTATATCATTATATATATAATTATCTGATAGTAATTAATTATAAGGTAATGCTTTTTTTTTCTATATCTGTGTAATGCGCAGGG